CACATGAAGATTACTCCCTCCAATAACCAATCTGAATGTTAGGAACTCAAGATATAATAAAAATAGTGAAAGGGAAACCTTCCACTTACTAATTATTACTATTGTCAAAATTATGCATAAATAAACACAACAATATAGTTTAACAAATTACAGTTCACCAATTAAAATTTAACAATTTACCTTCAAGATTCTTATTTTATGTATTGCTATGATCAGTCAAATGGAAAGAGCTGATGAAGGATGCAGTGATGTAGTAAATGGAGAACATTTTGTCATCCTCAGACTTGCCAGATGCCACACAAAGGTCAATCATCTGGGGAAGACATGGACTGGCATTCTGTTTGTACCAGACATAAGTGATCATTTTTCTTGAATCATGAGTTCTAATAAAATAGAAATCACAAACCTGCATATCATTGGCAAAAGTCTCATATCCAAGAGAGAACTGTTTTGTTTCCTAAGCCTGACAATTCTCTCAGACAAACATCTCCCTTAATTGGTTTACTTGCTTTCTTTTTCATAAGTCCTCCAACTTGTAAAAAATGCCACTGTCATCCTTTAGCAGATTTCTTAAACTTAAAGCAAAAGAGTTCAAACAGAAGGCACTACACATTTCAGTAGCTCAATCAATCTCTGCAATATGTTATCCTGTGGTTCTAGCACCAACATTTTCTCCTTCCTATTCTCTGTGGTATATTCAGGTTAACCTGAATTAAACTTATAACAATGGGATAGGTCTGCAGAACAACAGGAAATTTGATCAGGATGTTTCATATGGAATAATACTAAACCTCTGAATAACTGAGTCATTATAATGAATAAAATAAACTTAACAGAAAGTAAAATAAGAAATGAGCAAACTTTATTGTAATTATATCTAAAACTTGCTTTTACAGAATAATAGACTGCCACGTTTCCTTGCTATTCCTTAAAAGTGTTTATTCTTCAAGATCACATCCCAGACTGTCCAAAGAAATTTTGTATTTACTCAAAGTTACTAGTGCTACTAATGTGACTATGTTGTTCTCATTCAAGCACAGGTTAGACATCACCTGACTATCAGTGAAGGGCATTACTTTGACATCCTTGTGTAATGTGCTGTAATAAAGCAGTTTTTATAAGCAGAATAGATATTATCTCCTAAAGAATAAAAATGGAATAAAGGCATCTTGAACAAAATTAATATAAACAGTTTTTTGGCAATGCCTTATGTGAAACTTGCACATATACAGAATAAAATGATAAATTTTGAATAAATACTATAATATTACAAGATGATAGAAACATGTGATATATTCATATACCATACTGCAGCACACATGATCAACACTGGTAGAAATACAATATAACAAACATGGGAGTTCTACTGAAACTTTAACTCTCAGAAAAATGAATTGAATTCCTCAACAGTTAGAACAAATGTGATCTGAAAGCAACAAAATTGCATTCATAATATACTGTTATGTCTCCGTTTGTTAATTGATTTTTCCGTAACTTCATTCCGACGAAACTTTGACGACACAAGTCTTTACTTAATAAAACTGGTTTATTTTTTCCGAATATAACTTTACGATACATTTAATTTCAATATTCGCGCTAAAACAAACACTATAACGAACGAACGTTAACTTCAACAATACCCTGTAACTGCAGTTCAATTACTCACTATCTACACACACATTATT